ATTAGGGTGTCACAAAAGATGTTTATCTTTTAAGCTAGTCATCCTAATCTGACCTTGTGATTAGGGTGTCACAAAAGATGTTTATCTTTTAAACTAGTCATCCTAATCTGACCTGGTGATTAGGGTGTCACAAAAGATGTTCATCTTTTAAACTAGTCATCTTAATCTGACCTTGTGATTAGGGTGTCACGAAAGATGTTCATCTTTCAAACTAGTCATCCTAATTTGATCTGGTGATAAGAGTGTCACAAAACATGTTCATCTTTTCAGCCATGGGGTCATCATAATATAACTCAGTCCCACAATGCATTGGTACAAAATAGCTGAAGAGTTGATTGTGGGTTGTGTTGACTTACTCCTTCCATATAGTCTAACACTTCAAAATTACAGACAACTAGCTCGGATATCCCTGGAGTGGCTTTGAAGAAAATTTAACAAAAAACATACTAACTGACTGTTAAGTCATTTCAAAACATCTAACATGAAATTAAATTTGTACATTAATTCCAAAATACAATAATAGCAACTCTTTACAATGACTACAACATTTCGACCCATTGTTGTAACCAATAAAATTAGAATTTACCTACTGTAAAAATTTGCTGCTAATGTATTTTTGAATTTATTATTTAGTTCAGTAGGTTCCTTATTAAACATTAAATTATTTTACAACAGTGATACATAGATATTGAATAATTCAGTCTCTCAGTCTTGCCATTAAGGTTTTAGATAGATATAGAAATATGGCAATGCTCTTAAAATCAACATGTCATGGAACTTAAAAGACTTGTTGATATATCAAACTTAATCAAATGAATATTGATAGTAAAGGGGTATCAGAATTTTAAAATGTATATATTATTCTTTTTGGCCAATTGTCAAATAAAAGGCTTTAAGTTATATTTCTTAATAGTGTAAATATATACTATGTTGTTGTTGGGCTTAGGATTATTCTACGCACTTCACTTGTTCTCAAAATAATATATATATTCGGAACAAGTTTAACGCATGTACAACAAATTCTTCACACTATAGAGATTATAGGCATATCATAAATACTATAATGTACAGTGTTCTTATTCTTGTCAAAAGTCCACTTAGGCCTATTCAATTACTTTAGAATTTCAATTGACAAGCCGAACTATCTTCTCTATTACTTTCGCACTAGTATTCTCTGCGTGTGTGATTCACTTACAGTTATGGCGCGAGTTACCTTAATCGTTTGGTCTTCTTTCTTCTAAATATCCTCTGTTCCTTTTGTGCACTCAGGCTATTTCAATTACTTTAGAACCACGCTTTAACGGAATAAATTACTTTTCTTATATTCGTTTCTACTGTCAGTCTTACTCTAACATATTAAACGTTAGGCCTATGTCAATCGTTAGGCCTATCACTTCTACAGTATTTTACTTCACTCCGAACTTTTCCTTGCCGTATAACTTTGACCCCCTTCGTTTTTGCTATTTGTCTGCTGTTTCTGCTCGTCTCACACTATTTATATCTTTATCACTTAATCGTCTGGCCCCTTTCTATATTCTTGATGTCGATGTAGGCCTACGTGATGTTAGATAGTCTCAACATCAATGGATTATGAACAAAACTTCCTACCATCGTCTGCTTTTAACTCTTATTATAACAAAACTAAAAAATAACATAGCAGTACAAAATTTATTATTGAATAGCTTCATATGCGTTGTTCTCGCCTTCTGTTTGGCTTTCTTTCATTGAGTATTCTTTTCTTAAGTTATGCAGATCAAAAATCAGCACTTCAATAAAATAAAACAGTTATATTATTACCTGATAAAAAAAATAACTTGTGTTTTGATACATTTCAGTTGTGTAGTAATACTATTTACTAAAAGAGAGAGAGAGAAAAACTGAGCACAAAAGTATACGCTGTATATATGTTAAAGATACCTCATAGATTTTATACGCTTGGTAGTCCACGAATGATGTCATCACTTCTAAATAAAGTAGATTCCTGTTTTAACTATTTGTGACGATTGCAAATAAAATATTTATAGTTTAACATGAGATTTTTTTTTCAAAAATAAACACACTATTTTGTGTTTACTGTATTTAGTTGGTAATTTTTATAAGAATATTACGAACACAGCTGTTTGATAATTAATAATGGCAACGAAATGACAAAGAAAAGTAAGTAAAATTAATATGATACTTGTATACTTTTGCTAATTAAATTATAAAATCCTGTATAATAAGATTTTTATTTATAGATTACCGAACACAGAGCAAAAAGATGTTAAACTTTACAACATAAATAAATAAGTATATATGTTACAGATATCTTCCCCATAAATATTAAAAACTATATATTTTTATTAAAATAGCATAATAGATGGCAGTAAAAAGTTGGCCAGTGACTTGAATTAACAACATTACAGATGGCGCTAAGATGAATGGATAACGAAGTTTGATTTTTCGTGGTGAGATTTTGTTTTTTATTGAATAATTTCGCCATAAATTTCAACAATGTCACATCTAGACTTTCTAAGGCATATATTCGTAATATGCATATCTCTTATGCCAAACTAATCTGTTTAGAAGCTAGTCTTCGAAATAGATTGTGACTTAAAATTAGACTATACATTCGTTTATAATTTAAATGTAGAATTAACGTTACTCGTTAATTAGGCTTAGTAGAAAATCGTAATGTTTAATCTTCTATTCTTACATAAAACTTGTGTTAAAATTGAACATAAGTAACGTTAATAGTTTTTATAGTCTTAGATCGAGTTCATTTAACCAAAAATCATTCCTATATCCTTTCTAACTCTATTATGCAAAAAGTGTTTTAGTAACATTGTTAGTACAAATACAATTTATAATTTCCTGTGGCACTATAAATTATATTTTAATAATTTTTATTATATTTAATTTATAATAAGTGTAAATGCTAGTGTTAGGATATGATAAAGAAATAGCAATAACAGCACGATATTATCAGTGTTAATGACACTAAGATTGGAAATTTTAAAACAATATGCAATAAGCAATAATTGATATTTTGGTACCAATATTATTATCAATAATAACACCAACTGTTATAATTTTTTATATTAAATGTAATACTAAGAAATAATATACTAATATAATTGTTACCAATATTAACAAAAAGTTCAGAGTGAAAGAGGAAATTATCTCCATACAACCCAATAATTAAGCTTTTCTTGGAATACAGTGTGCTATTTTAGTGTATCTCTTTAAGAAAGGATATTTAGTTATTGTAAAGGGTTCAGAGGAGAGCTACTAGGGTGGTTCTGGAGATAGGATAAGATCTCTTAACTTATTTTCTCTTTAGAAAAGTATGGTGAGAGATGATCTTATTGAAGTTTACTGGATCGTCAGATGATTTGACCGGATAATGGTCTTCAATTTCTTTATGATGTATTCTGAAGATAATAGGATATGGTCACAAGACTTAGATAGAGATAAGCTAGGCTCCAGTTAAGACAGTTTTATTTTTCTAAGAGGGTGATTATCTTATGAAATGAGTTACCCTTGTTGGCAAATATTGAATACTGGCACTTTACAAGAAGTGAGTGTGTCGAGACAACCTTGAAGGACCAAATGGTCACTTTTCTGTTATGTTAATAGAAAATAGCCATTAAGATGTTACTGATAGTAATAACAGGAGACATTTTACTAAGTCTAGTAGGCAATGTCTTTTTTGCAAGAAGGTTGTAAATAAATTGTTATATCAACAGATTTATGGCTTATGTCTCTCATAGTAACTGTATTTAGGTAAATTTGAAACAGTTGCTGAAAAAAGTGTATTCTTGATCCTACATTGATCAGCTTGTATTTCATTCAAGTCAAAACTTCAGTGGATTATAGCATCAAACACATAGTAATCTTGAATACTGGTTACAATTCAAGTTTATATATGTGTCATTTTCCTGAACTTGATAATATTAGATAATTGTGATGTTTTTTAACCTGAGCTCAGATCAATAGAAGTTGTAGTAAAGTGGATTTTAGAATATATTGGTTTCTTGTTCTGTTAGGAATGTGAACAAGTTTGTACATATGTACTGTCTCCGACTTAAAGCAGTTGAAACTGAAGCTAATAGTTTTTGTTTGTGTGTTTTTATTGCTTAAGGTGTATTATATAGTCTTCATTTTGTGGGCAATATTGCATGAAAATGACAAAAGATACTATTAAACGTTCCTTAATGTTGTGTATTTCCTTAATGTATTATTGTCCACAAAGAGATGTAACATTAAGATAAAACATACAATTATTATAAAAAGACTTTGAATCTTATTATTAGTGAAACCACCAAGAGTACATAAAGTGACCAACTATTTAGTGATAATACATTATGTAAAAATATTTTACATAAATGCTAAAGTAGACTAAAAACTTAAGTTTTGGAGTGTCGTTTTCAGTGAGAACTTTCCTTACTGGAATCAAACTCTCACCTTGCGTGTTCTTTCTCAGGCTGTGCGTTATTCGCTTGAGTTTTTCTCTTTAATGAAAATTTTCCCTCCCAAATCAACTCATTTTCTAGCATAGATGTACAAAAGCTGCCTGTTTTGGTTTCATCTGGATCTTTTATTAAAGTTCTAAATTTACATAAGCAAGAGAATTATTTCTACTGTTTGTAATAATAATATATATATATTTATATAAAATAAAGATTATTGGCCAATATTGTTAGTAAAGTTATGCAGTTGATAACTTCTAGTCTTTTTAAACCTTTAAACAATATTCTCATTTCAAACAATTAGATAAAGCCCGCTTTCACAGTTAGGAACTTGAATAACATTTCTATCAGTTGTTTATTGGCATGTTTATATAAAAACACACACACACAGTAAACTTTCATTGGATGTTTTTTATAATGTATCAGCCAGAAATTGGTTTAATATGAAAGTAAGTTTCTATGCTTAAACTGCCCACATAAAAAATTATTTACTTGATAACAATTTCAACCTAAATACCTTTAAAAATGTATGATCAACTGGTACAAGTTTACGCTGAGTATATTGTAAGAAGTTGAATATAGAAATTTTAATGTCAAGAAAAACTGTTTCATTAAGTATGTTTATATAATGGTGTACAATTGCTGAACAAGTTAATAAATTGTAACTATTAACTTTGGAAGTTAATAAGTTTCTAGCAATGCTTTTTTTTGTATGCTTTCCAATTATGTTGTATTTCTTTCTTTTCTATAGAAGTAGTGTGTAATGGCTCCAGTGTTCAGGCACTGTCCATGTTTTTGGTCAGAAACTTATGATATTCAAGTGCTGGAGTACAGTCATTGTAGTCTGAATGATGTTCCTAGTGAAGTGTTTGCCTATGAACGAACCCTTGAAGAACTATTTCTTGATGCCAATCAGATAAAGGATTTACCAAGGGTAAGTCTGATGTTTGGAATCTATTAATCAAGTTTCCTAGTATCCATTTTTAAGGAGGGTTATAGTGATGTGTTTTTCTTCCTTTTTAGCATTTTCAGTATTGCAAATCTTGTTCATTGTTGAAACTAGGCACTAGTGAGTCTGTGACCAACTGGAGACTATATCTTGTTCATTGTTGAAACTAGGCACTAGGGAGTCTGTGACCTACTGGAGACTATATCTTGTTCATTGTTGAAACTAGGAACTAGGAAGTCTGTGCTCTACTGGAGCTATATCTTGTTCATTGTTGAAACTAGGCACTAGGGAGTCTGTGACCTACTGGAGACTATATCTTGTTCATTGTTGAAACTAGGCACTAGGGAGTCTGTGACCTACTGGAGACTATATCTTGTTCATTGTTGAAATACGCACTAGGGAGTCTGTGACCAACTGGAAACTAT